CACCTGCCTGGCAAGCGCAAGGTTGTGAGTTCAATTCTTGGTACTGGAAATAAGCTGAATAAAAATAATAAATTCTGGCAGTGATGTAAGGGAAAAAGTACTCTACTACACTGTCGGTGGGAATGCAAAATAGTACAACTACTGTAGAAATCCATATAGAGATTCCTCGAAAAACTAAAAATAGAGCTTCCATTTGACCCAGCTATCCCCCTCCCAGCTATCTTCCCAAAAGAGTTAAAAATCATTATATTACAGTGATACATACACACTCAAGTTTATAGCAGCACAATTTATAGTAGATAGATCTTGGAAACAGCGTATATGTCTATCAACAGATGAATAGTTAAGGAAAATGTGGTATTTATACACAACTGAGTACTATGCTGTCATAAAGAAAAATAAACTTCAGCCTGTAGTAGGTAAATGGATGCAACTTGAGAATGTAATGTTAAGTGAAATAAGTCAGACACACAAGCTCAACTATTTCATGGCTTCTCTTCTATGAGAAACTATGTATCTATATCTATATATCTACTAGGAAGAAGTTTAAATACTTCCCCAAATTATATATTCTGTTGTTTTAAAAAGATTTCAATATATATGCTAATTTGTTTCATTTATACTAAAAGTTTATCTTAGTTTGTTGAAAAGAGAGTTTGCCTTACTATCTACTTGTTTCTTTTTTATAAGAACCTTTTTGGTTATGTCTTCCACATTGAAGATAATACACAGTAACAGTGGTAATGATACACAGTGATAACTATTGCTAGTCTCTTATTTGGATATGAAAATATATTTTATTTTTTCATAAAATAAAAAGGATAAACAAATTTTTCTAAGTTGGAAAAAGGAAAAGGGAGACAAATGATCTGAGGTGAGCGGTCTCAGATCTGCTGGGGAGGCCAGGCCACCTGCACCCGTGCTCCTGAATGGGGATGGCCAGGGGTGCTGGGACCTTGTTCTCAGAGGTGGTGTTGGTGGTGCTTCATGGGTGACCTGGGGAAGGGGATTCATGGTTCAGAATCTCTGCTTTCAAGTAATTTTAAGGCAGGCCAGGTTAGTGCTTGGGTGCAGAAAGGAAGGGCGGCTGGCCTAGGTTGGCACCTGGCCCCAAGCAACGCCTGGCCCCTGCCTGGCCCTAGGGTGGCTCTGCCCAGCCCCTGCTTGTGAGCTCCTCTCCACTCTGACTTTGCTGTGGCCACAGTGCTTCTGTCCTTGCTACTGACTTCTCCACCTTGCTCTACCCATGTCCTTCTGGGCAGGTCACCACTCTCCCAGGAAAAACCAAAAGAAAGAAAACAGGGAAATACAACAAAGACTTAGCTACAAAGTACAATCTCTGTTCCTTTCTTCCTCAGGGATAGTCCTCCCAAATATTAAGTGGGCACACAGTCACCTGAATTTTGGGTATATTTCCCAGCCTTTGCCACTGACACAGGTTGGCGACTAAGTTACAGATAATGATATGGAAGCAGGAGTGTTATCGAACAGCTTTTGTAGACCTCTTTCCAAGCTAGGTAGTCAGCAGATGTGAGGGCTGGAGCTCCAGCAGCCACTCTGGGAGGGGTGTGTGTGTGGTGGCCATGAACTAGGTGGGTGGGGTGGAGGGACAGAGTGTTTCTGGCTTGAAGTCACTGTGAGCTTCATGCTCGCCATGGTGCAACCTCCACACTTCCTGTGCCTGGAAGAAAATTCTCTGTCTGGTTTCAGCCACTGCTATTTTTGGTTCTGTTTACACAGCGGAACCTGACCATAGGGACTACAAATACTGGGCAGGCTGCAGTGTCACGAGGCCGTCACTCCTCAGCCTGATGCCCTGTGCCTACGTCAGCGCCCCAGTTCCATAGGCCCCCTCTGTCTGCATGCCCACCAGCATTCAGGAGCAGGCTCCCACAGGTCCTCACAGGCCCACAGTGTCTGCTTTGGTTCTCTCCAAATTTCCCAATGTGTGCAATTCTTGTAACAGTTCCCTCTCTACCCCAGAATAATTGTTCTGACCTTACAATTTTAGAAAAATCAACTGTGGGACATGGTTCAACATCTGCTGTTCACTGTGGGTACCCAGGACCTGAGGTCTGCAAAGTTGGAAACACCTTGCCTGGCACTCACAGGCTGCCTGTCACCTGGTGTGGACAGACAGCCAGGCAGGCAGAAGCCTCCAGGGAAGACTGTGGGAAGGACAGGGCAGCTGCCATCTGGCCGGCCTGCAGGGCTCCTCATAAGCAGCAACTCATCATGCTGTATCCCCAGTGGCCCGCTGAGGTGGCTACCATCACCCTAGCTTTGCAGGTCAATTGAGGTGACTGCCTACGGCCACACAACAGGTCCTACTGACCTTGGACCTGAACAGTGTCTGCTCTATAAACTGGCTTTGAAGGTAGCTCCAGAGGCCAGACCCAGCACAAGCCCTGCCCTCTGTGTCCTCTGAGGGATGCATCTTCTGTCCACAGAGGTCTGAGCTTCAGGTGGGTAGAAAGAGCTTGGCCCAGGCCAGAGATGAGCCCATAGGCATAAAGTGCCATGGCTCCCATGACAGAATACTGTGCGTGAACAGCGGGTCCAGTCAGATCCAGAGAGAGCTCTGGCCATGGGATGTAAAGCAGAACCAGACAAAAACTGCTGAGAAAGCTCTGCTCTTAGGCTGGACCTTCAGAGAAGGCAGATGTTCTTCCTAGACCTTCTGTGTCATGACAAGCAAGCCACTGGCTGTGAACCACGAGGCTGCCTGAGGAAGGGAGCTCAGATTGTGCTGGAATCCACAAGCTGCTCCATCTCTCACACCAGGCTGGGAGTCACACTTCATGTTACAGCTGCAGGTCCTCCAGCAATGCATGTTTCTTCTTTACTTATGCCCCAGAAGCAGTGCTGCCCATGTGGACTCCTTAGTGCCAGGGGAATGGGCTCAGCAGCAGGGATGCAAACTGGAGGCCACAGATAGGGTCCTCAGTCCAAGGGAAGTGAAGAGCGATCCACTGGAACACTGTCCCCTCCTTTCCCATGGGTCAGTCTTGAGAGGACTCTGGTTCGCCACTGGGCCACAGCCCCTCACCTCAGCGGCCCCACCTGCTGTCTGTGGCCTCCATCTAGAGCAGATCATTCCTGCACTTTAACTCCCCCTGCTCTGGGGAGGACTTGAGGAGGGGACATCCAGCCCAGGCATTTGCAGACCACTGTGGCTTGTGATGGGATAGAGTTGGGTCACACTCCTCAGGATGCAGGCCCAAGACTGTGGAGCTATGAAGTTTCTGGGGTGCTGGAAGTAGAGGGGCATTGCTTTCCCAACCCATTGAGTCTACCCTGACAGAAGATTCTCAAACAGGGACAAAGGTCTGGAGAGGAGCAAAGACACCAGTAAGCTGTGGGTGCTCCCAGTCACATCCATCCGCATAAAGCCCAGAGGACAGGGAAGCGGGGGCAGAAGCCTGGTCAGAACAGTGGACAACAGTTGCCCCTCTGGCCTCCAAGGTAGAAGCAGCTAGGATGTGGCACAAGCCCTGCAGCCTTGGGCTGGTTCACAAGAAGGGGTCATTGCCCATGCAGGCTGGTATGAGGGGCCTCTCCTTACTGGCAAGAAGGGTCAGTCTTTGGGTATGACTCTATACCATGAGAAAGATCAAATGCATTTGTTCTCATTTTTTATTTGAAAGCAATACAGTTCCAACCCATTGTTGAAGGCTTAAGACTCTTCCCACTTCAACATCCTTGTTACATGGTTAGTACCCAGGCTGGATCACAAAGCCACGCAGGTGACTGGAAAGCCCAGGGCTCTACTGTTCTTAGGATGGATCACAGATCTTGGACTCATTCTACAATGATGGGGAAAGAAAATCAGCTGGCTCAGTGGAAGACAGTTATGACTGTTGAGCTTCCCTTCACAAGAAGAGACATTTTCAGAGCAAGGACACAGGACCTCTGAGAAATACTGACTTCCAAGTCCTGAATATGCCAGTTGAACATCAGCCAAAGATGTCCCAAGAGGCAAAGCAAAGTCAGAGGACCTGGGCGGTGATCAGCAGCATCAAAGATGGAGCCTACCTGGTGGACACCTGGCCAGCAGCTGGCTATAGAGGGATGTCTTGCCCAGGACTGGAGGAAGGAAGTCCTCTATGGTGGCCATGCAGCAAAGAGCACAGGCCAGGCCTGCTGCAGCGAGAGATGCCAGGGGCCAGCAGGAGCTTTCCAGGGAGGGCAACAGCTAATGATTCCACATGGTTGTGAGAGAAGCACAACCTTGGTGGTGACCTTGAACTGGCTCCTTGCACTTCATACATTCTGGGTGACTGTGCCCCCGAAAGGCTTGCCGAAATCCTGAATCTTGAGTGGTGGAGCTAGGATGTGGAGCTGTGGGGAGATGATGAGGTTCTAAGGGCAGGGATGTGTCCTTCCAGGGCAGACACAGTGAGAAGGTGGTGAGGAACCAGCCCTCATGGAACAGATGCAGAATCTGTCAGCACCTTGATCTTGGACTTCCTGGCCCCCAGAACTGTAAAAAATAAATTTCTGTCATAAGCTACCTAGTCTGAAGTATTTTGTTATAGAACATGAACAGACTAAGACATCCATCAAAAAGGACAAAAGAAGAGGAAAATTGTGAGAAATAAAAGTTCTTAGCACAAATATAAGGAAACATAAACGTGGTATGACTTCAAAGCAATAATGCAGTATAAAAAAACAAAAAAAAATCTTCTTGACCTTAGTACTGGGAATATGTCCTCTCAAAAGGCTCAGGGGAAGGCTAACCCTGTGGTTTCTGCATACTATTCACAGGGACCCATGAGGGCTAAAGTATAGTTACAGGATAACATGTACATTTTATCAGCTTCCAAACTAAAAAGCACCAGCTAGGAGTTGGGAAATAGAGGAGAGGGAAGGGAGGGTAGCAGTCCCCTTGATTATACAGCAGGGACCACCAGACACTCAAAATGAGCCGAGAGACAGCCTTGAGCATACTGATTTGTAAGGCTACAAAGGGAAGCAACAGACACACTACTAACCTCTAGCACGGTTGCCCCTGGATGCATGGAAAAGGAGGAGGAGGAAGAGGGGCAGGAGGAGGAGGAGGCTGAATCTTGACTCCTGGGTGGCATCTGTCCTGTACAGGTGCAGATGTCTGCTTGCTTCTGTTCCACCCCAGTGGCTCCACCTGCCGTGGTGGCTGTGGACCTGCCTCAGTGGCCCTTTCACCCTCGTGGCTGTGCTTCTGTTTATTGGCTTCTTTTCCACCCTTCTCATTTGCCAAGGTCCTCTTATGTTGAGGCCCTGTAAAACAGCTTTTCTTTATTAAAATCCATTTATTCCCAAGCTCTTAGACAGGGTTATAAATATTGGTTTAAAACATTAAGCGGGGATTATTGATAAAAATATAAAATAGAAAATGTTTCCCAAGGAAATTTCATCTAAAAATAAGCTCGTCTCCACTTGAGGGGACTTGGGGACCTGTGTCAAGGTGAAAGCCATTCTCAAGCCTCTTCTGCAAGTATTCCCAGGAATTAGCCAGGAATAGATTTTTAAAAATCAGTGACGATGGAGTGCGAGTACCTCAGAAGAAATGTGCATATAAACAGGTCTCCCGGCTAGGGAAAGCAAAATTCTGCATAAATAAGATAAACCAAGTCTGAAGGTACCACTGGTGGGCATTAGGGGCTGGCCACCCAGTGTGGATGCTGGATGGGGCTTGGAAAGTCCAGGCTGAAGGGTCCTATAGGTGTTTACTTTCTGTTTGCATTGGTCCCTGTGACTTTGGAGAGCCTGTCAGCTGAATCATGAAGGAAAGGCGAGGAAGCCATTCTTGTCCCCAGTTCCTCTTGCCTAGGGCCACATGCTGTGACACCACCCAGTTACAAGGATCAACAGGCCAAGTCAGTGTTACCTGCACTTGGTCTCCTCCTCCACTTGCAACTATGGAAATTGCATCATAGCACTGTTAAATACCCTAGAATTATAACTAATTCTAATTAGCCAATAAAATCTTAGTGTACTATAATCTTGATCGACCAGAACCCATACGGTCATAATTATACACTGTATTCCTTTTTTTTCCCTTTGGTCTTTTTGAGACAGGATCTCACCCTACAGTTCCGGCTGGCCTTGAATTTACTTTGTAGCCCAGGCTGGCCTTGCACTTGCAGCAATCCTTCTGCCTCAGCCTCCCAAGTGCTGGGATTATAGGTGTTTGCCACCACACCTGGCTATACTCCCTTTAAAAGGGACAGGTCAAACAGAAGTATGATGGACAGCCCAACTGTAATACCTATCACAGCAGCACACTTGGCTGGTGTAAATCCACCTTGGCCTCACAGTGCCTTCCCTAGAAGGCAAGACATGTTTAAATGTCCTGGAGACTGCTCTGTCTGACTGGCCCCTTCCTCCTGGACCTGCTGGCATTTAAACACTGGGCTGTTGGCTTGTTCAGCATTCCTTTACCTGTTTTGCTATCTCTCATGACTATTTCACTCATCTCAGGTGAAAGGTGACACTTCCTCTGTGGGCCACATTTGGGTCAGGGCCCTGAGTCCTCCGACTAGCCCTGACCTTGGGCTGTTCCGTCTGGCTTTAGCAGGAATCCTGCTGGGCCAGTTTAGCGAAAATCCCCCACCCTTGATATCTGATCCTGTGCCTCACCCCACCTGGGCCTACCTTTGGCAGAAACCCTGTCCACTCCGTCTTTCAGAGCCCCCTAGTTTCCTCCTAGTGATTTCCCACTCCACCCCTTTGTGGGAGTGGCTGTACATCCCCACTTTTCCTGTGTATTCAGAGTTGAGCTGGAGTGCTTACCTCTACAAGGCCCCTTGAATGGACTCACTTGCGCCACTCTTCACCAATATCTGGATAGTATTTTAATAGAGATTAGAACAGGAGCCCATCCCCCCACATCGCTGCTTACACCCCACACCGAAGTACCCAGAGCTCAGGAAATACAACCAGATGACAGGCTGGGGTATCCGGGAAAAGCGGCATGGGGCTAAGAGACATTAGTGCCAGCAGCAAGGGTGGATAGAGACAATCCCACCTCTCCAGAAATCACTGCACTGCCAGCCCTGATCTCTCTGCACCTCCCTCTAAAACTACACCACAGCCCACCTCTCCATAGTGAGGCCAGTGCCTGGCCAAGGCCACACCCGCACCTGTCCTGCCTCCTCTCCCCAATCTTGGGAAGGGGAAGTGGGCCACTCTGGGCTGGGACTGGTTGGGAGTAAAGTCACACACCTCGGCTTGCTCTGGCCACATTTGGCCACCACAGCAGGCCTCCAGGGCCTGTTACCTCCTCTGCAAGTGACCACCCCCATTCCGCTGCGAGCAGTTAGCCAGCTCCCGGCTAATTCCCTGCAGGAGTGCACTGGACTGTCCCCTACTACACACCTCAAGCTCACTTTTCCTCCCCCAGCTGGGCGGAGCCCTGTGCAGCATCACCGCAGGACATCCTTGTCACCCTAGTCGCCACAGGATACCCTCATAGTCTCCCGCCACCCCCAGGAATAGCGGGACACCCCTGGTCACTCAAGACAACCCTGGTCTAGCGGGGGCATACCCCATCATCCCCGGCCGACGCGGGACACCCGCTGACCCAGCAAATAGCAGGTGGTCCGGCAAGGGGAGCTCTGCCTGGGTGTGAGGACTGCGGCAACCAAGAAGAAGTCGTGGGATGCGCTGGGGAAATTCGGGAGACTGCTGGCATTTATTTTAAAACTAGTATTTACCACGTCTTGCGAACAAGAGAAACTGCTCAAAAACCACACAGCTGCACCGACCCAGAGACTGGGGAAGGTGCACGTCCTGCTTCGACCCCGCCGCGCGGGACGGCTCCTGCGCACGCGCAGAACAGAAGGGTCGGGAGCGAGGCAGCAAGAGCCGAGGGGCGGCGTCCTGCACACGCGCAGAGCGGTGAACCCGCGAGCCTGGCCGAGGGGACAGCGAAAGAGAGAAGGGTTGAGGAGATCAGGGAGGCGGGGAGGTCGCGCGTAGTCAAAAGCAACTCTGGGAAGGGGGCGGGTCAAAATCGGAGTCGGGCAAGCCGAGGAGTGGTTCCTTTGTGGGCAAAGAACTCTGGGAGCCGGAGTCCACTCAGGGAGGGAGAGACTTGCGCTCGTAAATTGCAGCGACGGCGCGAGGCAAGGCGGCGGGATGGGAATTGCGCAGGCGCGGCTGCGGCGGGGGTGGGGGTTGCTGCGCAGGCGCCTAGAGGCTCCGTCCTCTGAGGCCGCGTGATGCTTAGGTCCCCGTGTATCCGAATATGTGGCCTAACCTCGGCCACCGCGGGTCTTTCCGTGGCATTGCACCTGGGGCAGCAAGGCCAGACACTCCCAGGTTGCCTGGGAGATCCGTGCCTGTCCCTCCCCGGCTGCCCGCTGTCTCCCTAATACAGGAGAATAAAACTCCCAACCTGAACGATCTCTAAGACGAGTTCGTGTTCTCTAAAATGGAAGAATGAATTTTAGGAACAACGGAGGTTAAGAGCAGAATATATTTATTGAGGGAAAGAAAGCTTCTGTCCAAGAGAGGGACAGAAGGGGGCCCGAGTGGGTTGCCAAGGACCCTGCCCTTCCCAGGGACTTTATAGAGCAATACCCCTAGGTGAGGCGGGTCCAAGAAAGGGGGAAAATGGGAAATTACAAGGTGGGCATGAGGTGGGACAAAACTATGGTCAGCCAATAAGATTACAAGTGTAATAGTTCTGGTAAAATTGAGTAAACTGGGATCAAATGGGGAAGCGAGTCACGTGGTAAGCGGGCATGAATACAGAACAGGGGCTTTTCCTGTAGCGGGTGGGGCTAGTGACCCTGGCTTTTTGAAGGTGATTGTTACTTATTTGGAGTATCAGTCCATGATGTTCACACCTAGGGAGGTATGTAGGTGCATTTGTTTAGTCCTTTTGTCTTGAGGTCTGGCCCACGGGTATCTTACCTTGTCTTTCATGTTGGCTCCTTGGAGGGCTTGGCCCTGTCTGACTGCCTATAATATTTCTGTCTAACTCAGCTGCCTATAACATCCACCAACGCTTGCCCCCCAACTCCCCCGTGGCTGGGCTACTCTCGGTCCCTCTTTTTCTGGGGTCACCGATGTCCCCCTTCTGCCTGTGGTAGTTCTCGAGGAGTGAGGGCTGTGCTTTTCCTTGATCACAAGGACCTCATCATTTCTCTCAGTGAAAACTTACTGAACAACTGGTTGGGGCAAAATGTGCGCTCTAGCCTGGCGGGTTAGTTTCTGCTTTCATCTCAGTAGGAATCCTAGGGATGTATAGAAGTTAAATAGGGGACCATTGACGTGTTCCCCCAGTATTTTAAAGACACTTGTAGGCGTTCAGCAGCCCCATAGTGAAGCTGTTGTTGCTGTCCCGTTTACTATTTTGATGATTTTGGACTTGTTGGAGTGGCACTGTTGAGTGCCTACTGGCCAGATGGCCTGTGCATTTTATCCTTGGTACCAGAATCCGGGGAGTAACCACGTCTTAAGGACTCTGCAGCAGGCAATGTTCTAACGTTTTTATGGAGTCGAAATGAGACCGGAGAAGGGAGGTTGGTGGCAGGAGAGGGCTGAGGGGCTGGCCCCAGAGCGACCGGTTCAGCAGCTAAGCTGTGATGGCTGGGCCCCTCTGGCTCATAAGGAATCTTTGCCGGATAGAGAATGGTCTCTTTCTGGGTAAATGGGTTAGAACATATGGATGAGGCAGCCTGTGATAAGTGTGCCCCCCTGGGGCCCCTGGTATGAATGCAGCAGTTGAGAGAGTTCCAGGGGCTTCCAGCCCTTAAGGGCAAGATTATCTTAAGACAATCTCAGAAGAACGCAAATGGGCCAGCATTCACTGGAAATTCAGGAAAAATGCCCCAGTGTATGCTCAGGGTATTCAGAAGAGAGGCCAGGTGAACCTGCTTAGGTGAGGGCGTCCTGGGAGAGAGGAGGCAGCAGTGGCCCTCTGCAATGTGGACTGCAGGCTCCCTCTCCTTGCCATCCCTGCCCTCTGGTGGGGGTTTCTCCTGGCAGAGCTGGGACCACTTGGACATGATGGAGATCTAGCAGTGTTTGCGAAGAGAAACTGGACCAGGCCCTGGTCGCCAGGATGGTACAGTTGAGTGGTCTTGAGCCTCCCAGGGACTGTGTCTTCTGGGACATAGGCTGCCAGGCTGGGAGTGGATTTCTGTGAGTTCCTGCCCATGTGCAATGCTCCGGTGTGTGAGGACTCAAATCTTGCCTGTGTTTGACCTCCTGGTCCCTGGCCTGAGGGGATGGCCAAGATGCCTGCATAGGTCTCTGAGAACCCTGCAGAGCTATGCCCAGGTGAGCTGCCCTGCAGACCCACCTGACCCATCTTTACACCTTATCCTTGATTAGGCCTCTCTGCCCTCACCCGCACACGCTCCACTCGCGCGTCATGTACCCAGTGTGCCTTTCACACATGACTTCTTCCATGTGCTGGGAGTCATCCTGCTTTGTGACTACGCATGAATTCTGGTCCATTCTGTTGGAGACATTTGACCTAATTCCAGTTGGGGGATACTAGGAGTAAGGTTGATATGCATTATTTTACCTATCTTTTGCAAGCATGATTTTTTTTTTTTACCTCTTGGAAAGAACCTAGCAATGTAGTTGCTGGTCATTGTTCCCAAAGTGGCTATGTCATTGTCACCAACTTGTATGGTCAGACTTGTTCCCCCTTTTAAATGCAGCATGTTCTAGTGTGTGTGAAATATGTCCCTGTCCTTTTTTTCTTAAGCCCAATTTTTTAAAAGTGTTTTTCTGTTTGATGTGCTAGAGCTGGTGTCTGCTGCCTGAAACGGAGTGTAAATGACATTAGTGCTTAACCAATAGCTCAAATCCAGTGGGAGGGTTTGAGGCTGGCCCTGAAGACGAGTATTAGATTATCTAAATTATTTGTCAGGAAGTGCTGGCTGCAACCTGTCTGCAATTTGCTTTGATTTCTAACTTAGAATGTTCATTTTAAGTATTGGGAAATGAAAATATGTCATCTGCAACAAATGCAATTGCCAACTCTTTGACTTTGTTTAGTTTTATTGTAGCTGTTTTAACCTTTTTCACTGGGCCTCCTGAACTTTCATTTGTGGTATGCAGATGGCCTTCTGCCTGGCCATCGGGCCAGGTTCTGTGCTTTGGATTCTAAGCAGTGGGGTGCCCCACCCAGCCAGTGTTTACCTGTGAGCCGACCTAAGCTTTCTCCAGGTTGCAGACATGACACATGGCTGTATGCCAGCTGTAAGGCCTGTGGCACCATGCTCCCTGTGCCCGTGGGTAGCATAGATGCTAGCTCACAGTTCCCAGGAGACAGCTGCAGAAACCCATTTCTAGTGAGTCATGGCTGTCCCACCACTTAATGGTTTCAGTTTCCTGACTGATGAGTGTGAGATGACACACTTGCATTCCTGACACATTCTGTTTCTCTTTTGGGTGAGGAGCAGCTGCATTTGTATCAAGCCAAGGACTGCCCAGAGCTGCACACTTTAGTTCTTGCATTGTTTTATTTAGCATGCAAGACATGTCAAAAATTGAGTACATATTCTAAATCTTTCTTCCAACCCAGGGAATTGCCCTTCAATACAAAGTAATCACCATTGGCTTGAAAACCAGAGTTGATTTGAAAACTAGGTGGTGACCACTCTGACCTGTGTCCCTACATCCCTGGCTGTGTGTCTACAGGTTGCAGCCTGGAGAGGTGCTCAGAATCCCCCTTGCCATTGGCTTGGGCTTTGGGCCAAGATAAGGAGCTCAGCTCTCCCTGGCGAGTCTTCTGTAAGGGTCCTCTTGCGTCAGCCCGGACAAAGGGCAGGACTGTTGTTATGGTGTATATCTAGATGTCCTCCAAAGCCTCGTGTTTTCAAAGGTAGAGCTTTTGGAGAGTGGTTGGGTTATGCGGGCTTTATAGCTGACTTGCTGTTAGGAGGTGGGAATCTGTTGCTGGGGCGTGACTTGGAGAAGGGTCTGTCTCCTTCTTAGCTCCCCCTTTGATCCTCTCTGCTTCCCCACCGTCAATCCCATGAGCAACTCTCTTCCACCATGCCCCTCTGTCATGCTGTCCTGCCTTGGAGCCAGCTGATTGTGGACTGAAAACTCTAGAAACTATAACCCAAAATAAGCCTTTTCTCCTTTAAGGTATGAGTGTCTAGTATTTTGTCCCACTGGAGAAGAAACTAAGACAACATCCATCAAACTAGCCAGAATCCCTTCTCTACGAGAGACAGAATGCAGAGATCCCAGGAGAATTGACTCCACCTACCCAGAAGCTTGGGCTGGGGTACCACCTTCTGCTGGCTTGAGCCATTGAAGGCCTGGCTGCGGCAGTGACCTGGTCCATGAGGTCTCCGGCTGCCAGACACAGAAGGGCCAGCCTGGCCTCTGGAGCAGCAGCTGGGTGCCCTAGCCCCAGTACCTTGTGCTCCGCATTGTGCACACAGGACCCCTTCTAGTTCTCAGCTGTGCACTTCGGTGTGAACTTATCTTAGGCGAACCCCAGGAGAGCACAGCGGGGTCTCTGCCTGCCTGGAGCCTGCCCTGGCTCCAAGAGAAAGCTGCAATCACTTCATCAGCAAGCATTGTGTTGCAGAAAGGGAAGTTCAGATCAGCTCTCCCTGCCCACTGGGGGTGCTGGAGGAAGGGTGGGGTGTGG